ACTAGTGGGCTCATAGCCAGTATAGGATTGAGTAGAATATTCAAAATCTGAATCGGGACCACCTGGACAGTAACTAGGTACAATGACCGCAGACGTCATGAAACAATTTGTTAATAAATGGTAAAGCATTTAAAAATCGTTACGCGTACTTAAAAATCGTTACGCGTACACGAGACTTTGACTTACACGCAGACGTTGCCTGTCATTGCAATATGCGGACATCGGTGTGCGGTTTACACATCATTGCTACCAATGCGATCTGATATTTAAAATAACCACACTTTGTGTGCCTTTACACCCACCCATGCGGGCCATTTTCTTATATCGTTCTTTGTAAAGTGGTGAAGGCTTGCGCAGAAATAGTCAACAGGCTAATTACTGCACATGAGAACAATAAAGACGTTAATCTCAATGGCTTAAAGACAAAGTACTCGAAGAGAACTAAATTAAAAATTAACCGAAATTGGTTGATATAATAGCTGCCATACCTGAAGCATATAGAAAGGCACTATTACCAAAGTTAAACCTGTGTGGAGTAAGTCACGTTGCTATAAAATGATGTCTGATCGGAAACTTGACCTTTGTGCTAACGATATTGGCATTGATAATACCTGAGTTGGACCTTTATCCACAGAACAAGATCGTAGATGAATTCAGAAGAAAAGTTTGAAACGTCAATTGATTATGCAATGTATAGAATGGTTTTTTATACATTATATACTGTATAATCCAATAGTGCAGTGTGGCTGCCGATGATTGGATGCGATGGAAGAAAAAGGATTAGTGGCTAAGCGAATTCATTAGCTTATCACGTTCAATGAATCGTTATTAGATTGATTACACGGTATGTAATCGAATAATATTCCTTTATTTCATACTAGTCTTGCGCCGGAAGAGACGTTTATATTCTAATAAAAGGAAATATACGGCATATTGAACGAAACATTAGTATTTGGGAAAAAAATTGACGTAATACTAATAGCAGTTTGATTATTATTATCGTGTTATTTCCGAAGCGTTTACTTTCTGCCACTGATGCAAGTCGCCTTTACCTTTTGTCGTAGATTGTCTTCTGGCCAGATTCGTTAGTTTATTGGATGAAAACTTCACTATGTTTATGCTTTTTAGGCAAGCGGACAATTCCAGTCACTTTTGTTGTTAAAGTTTGAGTTGATTTTTGTATACTCTACTAGTTTTTTTTAACGTTGAGTTGGCTTTTAGTTTGTATAGACTGGTGGACAACAGCAATCTGCTTTATCGTAGTAGATTGTATTTTTTGTTTCTGTTTTTATCGTTTAATTATTCTCCAAAACATAATACTTGATGAGAGAGATCCGGATTTAGCGCGGATAAATTACATTCTACAAAGTCGTGATATAGTTTTCCATTACAGTCTATTGCAAATTATTTGCAGTAAATGTATCAAGAAATAATAATGGTTTGATTCGGGTCATTAAATGAAAGTGGAAAAGTGATTTTGTTAGAGATTTGCACAAATTTTATTATACGTTGATTGCTTACATACGTAAGCCTAAACTTAAATGCGGTCTTTTTTTAAAACGATATTTTAATTTGGTTTACGAACCATAGGCACGCGGTATGGTCTGACATTGTGTAGAAAAGTATTATACAAAAAAACAACAGCAACGGAATCTATCAGTTAACTTGTCAAATATATTTATTTACTAGTGAGTTGGTTATAGTATTATTACTGGACTGGATCTAATTAAACCATGCTTATGTGCATAATTAGAATGTTTTACGAAATTGACCGGTCTTAAATAATACGTATTTAGTGTCGATAGTATAGCTGAGTCCCGACTCGTATAAAAAGGCAGCGGTTTGTTTTACCACGACATACAGTCCGGCCGATTTTATATATTACTAAGACTAAGACTAAGACTATGTAAGTCAAGGTTTTGTGACAACAAATTTATTTAATTAACTAAAATGCAATGGACACGGTACTCGGAACAGAAATTATGAATAGGTACCAAATTAGTTTATCAATTTAAATAAGCAGTTAAACACCTCATGTTTTTGATGTCATTATTATTAGCATGTCGCTTGTTCTTTAACAAGTTTGAGAATATCAGTCATTGGAACGAAAAATTGCGTTTGGTGTTTACACATTAATTATAATAACTCGGGATGCCGTAAAGACTCGCCTTTAATACATTTTAAATACTTGTAGTACCACAATACGAACCTTGACCTATCAATAATCAATTATTTACCTCTCATCAAATTATTTAATACATATTATAACTGTTATCAGTATCCGACCGATCTAATTTGGACAAGAATGAGCGGACGATTGAAAATTCCTTGTGTATAGTGTACAATAAACTTGACATTTGTGAAGTGTTCAGCTCGATCGGATGTCTCCAGTAAAAGTACGACTACATCGGCCATCAGTACACATGCCCCTTTGCAATCACATTTTACTCGACTTCTCGATGCAACTTTAACTACGCTTTGGCCTCTTGCCGCCTCTCTTAATGATATCGTTCGTTGAGGGATACCATCTAATTCTGGCGTAATACGCGTGGCTCAACATGAGTTCTTTGAATTACCGAATTCGTTAGCGATGGTTCTTCCATTGATGTGAGATGCAATATACAAGGTAAGTAAACATTGCTCAGTATATCATACTTTGAGTTACTAAATACGTTAGTAATGGTTTTTTTATTGGTGCGAAGAGGCGTAATAAGCGTGGCTCAACATGTTATTGTGCATAAGTGCCTTGAATTACTGAATTCGTCAGTGATGGTTCCTCCATTGGTGTGAGATGCAATACACGGTACGTTAGTAATGATTCTTTCATCAGTGCAATGATGCAAACATTGAATAAATTTGTATTAAATTGCTTTGAGCAACTGAATATAAGCTTTATTTCTTCGATCAGTGCGAAAAATAGAAACACGACTATATTAAAATGCATAACCAACACGGCTCAAACATATTCCTTAAATTACTAAATGCGTTAGCGATAAGTCTGAAATGCAAAATTCGCATCTGTGTGTTACTGACCGTATTTTTAGGCTTACCAAATTGGGTTTAAAAGTGCGTTTTATTTTAACCAGCCCCAACTGATTTAGCTACTGGCTTTTTGAGAACGAAATAATAAGACCAATCATACTATTATACAATTTAAGGTTCGAGTTACCACATACAGTTTAAGGTTCGAGTTACCACATCCCGTTAGCTATTGTGCAGGAAAAGCGCTTGTTAGAATGCACTTTGCCTTGATTGATTAAAGTTACGTTCACCAACTTTTGAGGGTCTAATCTTGTGAGCTAACAGCCACCTACTTTTGTGACTACCATCTTTCAACTGTAGTAATAGACATTTGGTTATGGTTTAAGTGATAAAACTGGAAATGAGAAGATAGTATAAGTAGCGTACTGTTTGCTATCGTCATATTATTACGATGTCTATCAAAAATTTTGAGCTAATCAAACAACTCTATGTGTGCTTTTTTTGTTAAATGTTTATATTATAGACAAAAAAATTACGGTTTGTAATCTTGACTTTGCTTTGGGTCATCAGAAAACTTCTTTGTGCTCGGGGAATTGATCGAGCGATCTTTCTGTATTTCTGTATGCATAGTTTTTCGAATGTTTTATGATCAGACATACCAACCTGCGATTACGATAATGTCTATAATACTGTAATAATAGTCAATACTATTTATACTCTTTCTTCGATAACTTAGCCTAGATTATGCAGACCATATGTAAGCGATAATAAACATAAATCGATCGAACGATCCTTCCTATGATCACTACGGTCTTTCCGGGAATAATCAGTTGGATATTACTTCTGGTGAACGGAAAAGTTAAAGAATAGGTGCCTGAGCGTAGCCTTAGTTCAACCCATGCAGATTTAACGTTTAAGAGGACTTAAGGTTTATTGAAAATAGCAAGTTTATTATTGATAATAATAGCAAACAGCCAAAAATATATGTGAATTTGATTTTGGGTCTTGACGGGAACGAAAACGCAGCGTACATTGGGAGGGGATTATATGCAAATTGAAAGAGTTGATTTCATATTATTCTAACAACATTTTGACATCCATTTTATTCACGGCTCAATGACCGAGCTCTTTGCCGTTAAAAGAAATTCTATTGCCATCTTTTCCTCGCTGTTGATTATTTAAGCACAATTGGTTAGTAAATTTACTACAAAAATTCTTGATATTACAGATAAACGTCTGTAAGACTTGCCATGAATAATCTTTCAAGTCTTCTCTATTCCAGAATTCGTCACCTGACAAGTTCATTTGATTCTCGGATTCGTCGACTGCCAAGTCCATTTGATTCTCGGATTCGTCTACTGCCAAATTCACTTTATTCCCGAATTTGTCTAATGCCGATTTCACTTTATTCTCAGAATTGTGCTTACTCAGGGCTTCCACCTCTTTGAAGTTTTTCAAACCCATTAATACCTTACCCTCTACTTCCGACACCTGGCTAATGAATATTTGAATATGAAAGAGATTTGTTAGTAAAAATTACTAGAAATTCCATAACACAAATAACGCCTGTAAGACTAACTGTGACAACCCTTTCGTGGCAAGATATAGCTTTATATATTCACGAGCGGTTTTTTCATAATTTTTAGCAAGTTTCTTGCGAACGATATTGTGATAAACGTTTTTACACGAGTTTGCCGTACGTCCGTTTTCAAGTTGTTTTGAAATGTCTGACCATCCTTTTTTTCCTACGTCATGCAGATAATAAACAGTGGCAACCTCTATATCTGAGAACGCTTTTTTGTTGACTATTTGATAAAAGATGCGTTAGTGAATTTATTGACAATGCTGGCGTAAAAAACTTATGTTCAATTTTTTACCTCCGTTTAAACAAGACAGCCATTGTTCTCTCATTTGCTTGCCATTCCGACTAGGATGGTGTACAGAGTTCTTTTCCCAGTTATGTGGACCATACACTTTTACTATTTCTATGAGTATTTTATCTTCCTGTCATCATTAGGAATGTAACGATAGTGAAATGAATAAGACAAAATCATTGAATAAACGTCTAAATATAAAGTATACTATATGTCACATTTACCTCAGGAGTCCAATGTCCCTGCTTCGTTTTGTATTTGTGCTGTTTCCCATCCTGGCTACCACCACTGTAAGTTAGTGGATAATATCCTGCAAAAAACGAACGACGACTCACGCGAGCGGACGTACGGGCGGGGTAAATGTTATCATCCTTATCTGCTCCAGTTCCATTGGTGTAACATACACCAAGACTATTTTGAGCACTGGCATCTCCTCGTTCATCATCAACTGCCCTTTGTTCATCCTTTTCTACTCCAGTTTCATCTTCATAACATGATGCAAGATTATGCTGAGCACTAGCATGTCCTTGTTTAGCTGCTTTTTTATACCATTCAGCTGCTTTTTGTTCATCCTTTTCTACTCCAGTTCCATTCTCATAACACCAACCAAGATTATATTGAGCACTGGCATGTTCTTGTTCAGCTGCTTTTTTATACCATTCAGCTGCTTTTTGTTCATCCTTTTCTACTCCAGTTCCATCTTCATAACATAAAGCAAGATTATATTGAGCTCTGGCATATCCTTGTTCAGCAGCTTTTTCATACCATTCAACTGCTTTTTGTTCACTTTTTTTTACTCCAGTTCCATTATTATAAAATACACCAAGACTATATTGAGCACCAGCATCTCCTTGTTCAGCTGCTTTTTCATACCATTCAACTGCTTTTTGTTCATCCTTTTCTACTCCAGTTCCATTGGCATAACATAAAGCAAGACTATATTGAGAACTGACATGTCCTTGTTCTGCTGCTTTTTCATACCATTCAACTGCTTTTTGTTCATCCTTTTCTACTCCAATTCCATTGGCATAAAATAAAGCAACTTGAGACTGAGCAATGGCATCTCCTTGTTCAGCTTTTCTGGGTATTAGTATTTGGTATAACACGCGGTGATTCCCTTCTTTCATTTTCGTATAAGCAGTATAAATACACCAATTCTATCGAAAATCAAAATATTAATATATTGGTATTAGTATGCCACTTCAGAAAAGTCCAATTTCGCAATATTAATATTATAATTAATATGCAATGTAGTAGTAGTGTAACGATGGATGTGTCAATCGAAAAATTCGAATGCATACTAATACCTTCTATTTATCACAAAGTGCAAATGTTTATGCGTCATACCGGCGAGTACAAATGAAGAGAGGTTTAAACGCCAATATAAATAGCCTTTCACAAGTGAACTATATGAACATTACTGTCGAGCCTTTTTCTTGCAAATAAGACGTGTCGCATGTTTGTGGGAAAACTGACTGAATACGTATGTACGTTTTGTTTTAACTTGTTTGACTGGCATAGTGTTGTTTCATTCAAGCAAGTTTTATCCCTTAAACTGTCTTGTCGGCAAATTTGCCTACAATTGGAATGGAATACAGTTAGGGGGTTGCATAGGGCTAAATGCAAGGTCGCAAGGTAAATAGGAATTCAGTAAGACGCGTCAATTACAAGTGGCGGGCGTTTACTGATACTGTATGATTATTACAGACCTATTCTCCGCCGCGGAAGAAGTTACTTTCACTGGGCTGTTAACATGCTTATTACTGGAAATATCCAAAGCTTTGATAAGCAGGTAAGAGTATATCATCGTTGCTATAGATACTGTGGTTGAGATACATAGACGACAATAGTTTGGTTAACCTTTGCAAGTTCCGCCTTTATGCATGATACTCGGTTCATCAATTTGATTAATCCAAGGCATTTCATATTAATTGTTTGTCCTTTTCAGATAGCCCAAACGACTGACGCGATATCAAAGAAGCCATGGAAATGCTTAGAGTGCCTGGAAATGATTGAGGTAATATATTAATTTGCTGTTATTATGTATGCTGCAATAATAACTTGTAACGTAATATGGCATTTAAAACATCTAGCTTCGCCCTCACTTGAGATGTCAGCTCGTACATTGTATGCTGATACAAGCATTCGGTCATGATTACTTTCGTTTTACTTGGAGATTACGAACACTTCGGAGACGTGATCAGACACGTGGGAAGAGATCCCTTCCTCTTAGTAGCAGCTATCAGACGGAAATTGCGGTTTAACGCAAAGTTTACGAAAACCGTCAAGATTGCGGCAATACTCTTCGCGGCCACCGGTTCTTTTCCAAATTGTCTGTCCGAATTTTTCCGTCTCAATCATCAGCATCTCCTCCCAAACCACTTCTTTGTCTCGATGATGACTATGATGTCTGGGTCTGTCTGACCGATAAGCAAAAGTCGGCTCGGAAAGAGGCTAAGAAACAGCAATTGGTTTCTATGGGAAAAATGAGGGCTCGTGGGATGCCCTGAAGATGAATATCGTGTTGTGCCACGTACTTCCGGACGAACAATAGCCTTGAAGATGGTCTCCCACCTCGCAATACTTACGAGACCAGGATTCCTGCTTGTACAAACAATGTGGTAGCACTTTTGCTGCCGAACAGAGCAGTAAGTATAGTCTACAACATATCGTTTTTCTTGTTCATCTTTTAGTCTTTACTCATAACTGTCGATTATTTTAATGCAGCTTGCTCTGCCTGTATCATCCGTTTCCGTTTAATACGGAACTTCCGGGTACTATGTATAATGAAGCTATAGATCCTTGCGTCGAAGAGTACATTTTTGCTGAATTGTGTTTGCGTGGTGAGTGGGGTCATAGGCGAAAATGTGGGAGAAGTCTGTGCTATTTAAGTGGATGGATCAAGAGTAGGGAATATTAATGGAATTAAACAAATCGTATAGGACTCTAGATGTCATCATTGGGAAATGACAATACCAATGTATACGAGAATGCAAGAGATTGTATGCAAAACGTTAAATGGCTTTCCACTTTCTCCGAAAATTCGATTAACTTAAGCTGTAAGTGAACTCTAGGTACGTAAACTTTGAATTGCATATAATACTGAGGAAATCGTGGCATGGAATTATCGCTATTTTGAACTTCTCATTAGCAGTATCATTTCAGATGCTAACCACCCATCTTTGTTAAATAACTCCTAGATCAGAGTATTCACGAACGCTTATAGTTGCAATGCACACTATTCCGACCAGGCCACGTTCCGTCCTAGTTTTGCGTGTTTGGAGACGGTAGATCTAGTGAAAATTGTATTGAGAAAAGGAGATATGTAGGCATCGTTGTGGGACGCAACCCTAAGATTCGTATTCACGAACGTAGCAAGCAGTTCATCGTTTGGAAGCCATAACATTGTACATTGTTTCTTGCTACCACCTACAACATATCAACATACCACCACCACCACATCAACATCATGACAGACATCGTTAACACCCATCGTAAGGTTCTCTTTCTTATTATTTGTTATTTTTTTTTTACGAGGAAATAATGACAAGGCTAACCAATCAATATAAAATCTGTAGGCCAGAATAAATCGAAAATTACAAAACGTAAATGACGATTTAGACAGAAACAACACCAACCAAAGTGAAGTAATGCGGCATGCGGCTGAAGACTTACCACTGAGACTCCAAAACATAATGCTCAAAACTTCAACGAACGGAATAGTCTTTACATTGAGACGGAGAAAAATAAATGTAATGGGGATCTTACTGCGAATAACGAGATGAAATGAATGAAGTCTTTTTTGAATGAGTGACCCTCAACAGCTACTGTCTCGTGGTCACTTACATTGCTCGTGTTGATTCGAAACAAGCGCTTAAAATGTGTTTTGACAAATCATGGGCGCGTGCAGAAAGGGAGTTGATCTAAATTTGTGCTGCCGACCGATAGTATGGCAATTTACAACAAATAAAAGCGATGTATGAGATGTCAAAAATCAGTAATGCCCACCTACGTTGGCTAGTCCCTTGATAGGTAGTAGTTAAATCTTCATTCTGGCATTCATGTAAGACCACTGCACTGTGTGATATATTCATCTGATGTTTCCTTCGTATTTTTTTAGACGAGAGAAGGCATCGAAGTTAATGCTTCTAAATCGATTTATTAAAATTTTATCCATAGTATTGTTTACATACAGATTAATAACTTATGATAGTAAATCTATATGATAGAATTGGTCATAGATGATAAGTTTCATTATGACTGATTTAACGAGTCTGAAAATTGGATACCTTGCCTAAAAAGAACAATTAATGAAAATCAACCAGATAAAAGAACTATATTAGTCATTCTTGGACTCTCGGCGACTATAGTTTCCCAATTCTAAATTCTGTTTGTATTAAAACAAAGTTTAATTATCTCGTTATGATCTGAGGACATTGAACACTATGATATGCAAGACAACAACATTACCATTGCAAGAATTCCGATAATCTCCTCACGTATTAAAAAGCGCGCCAAAGCTTTCCGATGTACGAGCTAATTTAATTTTATTTCCTTCTCGTATCTTCAACCATTCAGCAGTGGAGATTGTATCTGCCGAAAAAAGTATAAGCACACCTCATTTGTTTGAATATCGGGGTAATGTATTGGTTTATCAAAAAACGCTAAATTGTCGGTATTAACGATCGTTTGTATATGATACTGGCTGTATGTAGCACCGCGCTTATTTATTTATGCGCTTTTGTCGAATGCTGCTATTTACAAACGGTAACGTTTAATAAGCGTTAGTTTAATTCGTAACAGTTGGGCTCTTTGTGAAGGAATAAAGTTTACGCATAACAAAAATAAACACTTTAATAACAGAATATTAATAACAAGTAATATTATATTAGTAATCGATAGACTTTTTTTTTTCTTTCAAATCTAAGCATGGGAAACTCGTATAAGAAATTCAGTGTGACAGGTATACATTTACATATAATTGCAATTAAGAACGTCTAGAAGCAATTGTAGAAGTTGTAGATTGTATTTCAACCGTCAACAAAGTTTTTATTGGAACACGACTATGCTTAGGTGCTACTGTACATGCGGCAATTATTAAAATGCTCAACTTAATACAAAGACAAAGTCTACATACCTATTGTTTATCAATCTTCAACTCCAATAGAACCAACCATTGGCAAGCATGTAGCTACTACTTATTTAAGAGTATTCTGTTTTCCATATTTGTAGTAAAACGGTGCTTGTTTAATGTATTCTAGACTACACTAATTAGATTTCGGGAGGGAGGAAAAATTCGTTAGATAAATTTTTTGGTTTACAGTCATACATTTTTATACAACTGTTATCCATAAAATAAATATTAATGCCCAATTTACGATAGAACAATTTTGAGCTACGCATTTGACATAAAGTCGGCGCCGACCAAATTCGAAACGGGGCATTCCATTGATGCTTGATTTTATTTTTCGGACAAGAATAGAAGTACACATCTCTAATGCGAAGGTTGATGGTGAAACAACTGTTTAATTAATTAATTGCCTGATTGTTGGCTTGATTATTGGTCCTATTACCAGGGTTGAGAATCCGGTGTAGTTTCAATCAGCATAATTATGATGCAAATCTTAGTATTTAATACCTGACGACAGAAGTTTTTCTTTTTTGTTTCCGACTTTCTAGCCATTATGATTAACGCGCGTTTTTTTTTCACCAGGCCTGCACTTTCATAACATGTATGTTGTCTTGTAAATTTACTGGTTATTTTAACGTTTATGGGGTTATTACATGTGTAACAAATAGAGAAAGTCGGCTGACAAAATCTCAGGGGCATGTTAACTCTTTGTTGAGCCGACAACAGGGTTACAAGCGTACAATGGACGAATTCATTCTTCAATGGCAAGTTTCATCAACACTTTAAAATAGAACTAATTTATTTGCAATATTAAATAGAATTACATGTGTTATTTCTCAGTATACACGGACCAAGGTCCCACGATATAAGGTTTATAACAAAATATTAATATCTAACATGCTAATAGTATGTACATTAACATTGTCGAATTAACGTTCCACGGTTCGAATCCATTCGCCCAAAAGCTAGAAAAGTCTTACAGCATGATTATTTATTGACAACGTTTTATTGTTGTCTCAACAAATTTAGTAATTATTGATCCACAAAGTTATCTATGTCTGTATAAAAAAGACTTACGGAAATTTGTATGACATGATATTAAAAAAATATATACGCAATTAAAATGCTAAATATACTTAATTAATTAATTAACGATTAAACAACTTCTCATGCTATACCAAACGGATTAGAAAAGCTTACTATTGTGAAACAAACTATTTACAGCTAACACGCCTATAATAAAATTACAAAGATAAAGTTAAGCCATGACTTTTTTGACACTATTGTGTGCAAAAGATATGCGATATAAGTCATCAATTACAAGATAAATATAAACTAATTTTACAGTGTTAATTTTTGATCAGTTTCTGAATGTATAAACTTTTAAACAAAAAATTCTTAATAACAACATGTTGTATAAAGTTTACAAAGACGATGTTTCTTAATGTTAAGCCAAAATAGTCTTATATATGTTCTGACCCAAATCGAAATCTGACCCAATTCGGAATAGGGTCGACCCAAATCGCAATTTGATTTGGGTCGGCCCA